TCCTATAGCGACTATGTTCTTCTGAAGCTAGGTACGGATGATCTAATACAGCACTCTCATGGCTCTGATCGATCATAGGCTCAGAGAATAGGTCATGAATCTACTCTCATGCTTTATGAACAACTTATAAGAGATAAGAATAATGAATTACTATTCTCATTAATAGCATTTAACTTGGACCATAACTAATGAATTTTCTTTTGAGTTCGGTTACTTTATTGATCCAATAGCTGCTTCAGCGGCTGCGATTGCTATAACAAAAATGCAGAAAATATCCCCTTTTAGTTGGGAATTATTGGAGGGAGCGAGCAAGGACCTGCTCGCGACTGTAGCTACCTCCAGGTTTGAAAAAGGATCTTAGAGTGTCTAGGGTTAGGCCAGTAGGTAGTCGAACGGTCCATTCTTTTTTTTTTTTTTTTACTTCCCATGAAAACAAATTTATGATTATTATACATGAAGAAGATTTTACTCAGCATGTTCTATTCGATACGGGTAGGAGCGTTGTGGTCGGACTCTATTATGGATTTCTGTGAGAAAGAACAATGGATCTGGGGAAGAATCCCTATCTCCATCGCCTAACCCTAGAAAAACAGAGTTTGGTGGCTCAAAATCTCATTACAGGAGGAAAATTGGCTTTTTCATCCCTGGACTTCCGAGAAATCTTAAACTTATGTCTAAACTATTTTTTGGCTAAAACATACTTAAACATCATTTTAATTTTAATTTCATACTTGATCAATTAAATATGTGCTAAAACCAATTTCCGTCCGTAATCTGTTAATGATCTATCAAATCGAGTATACATGGCAGCCACGTAGGATACAACATCATTTTGTTCTTCCGAAAGTTTTGAAAAAAAATTGACAAAACGACGTTGTTTTGTTATGGAGAAAAAGATATTGGTTTAAGGATTTCAAATAATTTTGGTTCTGTGTTTATTCAACTCCTCGACATTGGTTTACTAAACATCGGTTCTGTGTTTCTTCAACCCCTCGACCCTCGACAGCTACATTGTTGATCTAGGGGTTTCAAATAATTTTGAATCTACCGAGAGTGTGTCTTCCTCGAGTAATTCTGGTTAGTTATTGTTGATAAGGAAAATTACTCTCCATCACCGATTTCAGAAATAAACAAACATGTACTACCCAAAAGAGCTGAAAATCAACAATAACTAACCTGAATTACTCGAGGAAGACATCACTCTCGGTGGACTCGAAATTATTTGAAACCAATGTTTAGTAAACCAATGTCGAGGAGTTGAATAAACACAGAACCAAAATTATTTGAAATCCTTAAACCAATACTTTTTTCTCCATGACAAAACGACGTCGTTTTGTCAAATTTTTTTAAAACTTTCGGAAGAACAAAACGACGTCTACATGGCTGCCACGTATACTCGATTTGACGGATTATTAACAGATTACAGACGGAAATTGGTTTTAGCACATATTTAATTGATCAAGTATGAAATTCAAATTAAAATGATGTTTAAGTATGTGTTAGCCAAAAAAATAGTTTAGGCGTAAGTTTAACATTTCTCGGAAGTCCAAGGATGAAAAAGCCAAATTTCCGCACACACCCGTTTAGGGCTACTAAACAATGTATTTATAGGTCCTAAAGTCTTCTAGATCTCATTTAGGGTTTCTCTGAAGAAGAATGGCGAAGTGGGCTTTGATTTTGGGCCTTGTGGTTCGTCCTAAGGTCCACCGGGGGTGAGAGTCTTCCAGGGCAGGTAAAACATGTGTTTCCCGCGGGTGAGACTCTTCCGAGACTTGTGAACTTGTTCAACTTGTTCTCAATGTATCTTTTGATTGCACCGTTGGATCTTTGTGATGTAAAGTACTATGAAAATCTGGTTGTCTCATCTTGATTGTCTCCAAATTTGAGCTGTATCGGACGGTTAGAAGGTCTCCATTTGTTACCAAACTTCTGACGGTCTGACATTGAGCTGAAAAGTGGATTTCTTCCATTTTGCCATCATTTTCCCTAAGTTTCTTGAAAAAAAGCCTTGAAACTACAAATACATGGAAATCATAATAAAAGTTCCTAAAACTGATTAAAACCTTTTAAAAAACATTTGAAATCAATGGTGAAAATAGATCAAAATCGGGTGTTATCAAAGTAGGAGTTGAAGATGCAACAGATGAGTTGGATATATATCTGAATGAAAAGACTGAAAAGAAAAAAACTTTGCCTGGCTCCGAGTATAATGTATTGGATTATTGTAAAGTCAACAGTGGTAAGTTCCTTATCTTATCTGAAATAGCTTGAGATATCCTTGCAATGCAAGTGTCGTCTGTTGCCTCGGGAAGTGGTTTTAGCACCAGTGGCCGAATCATAGATCCTTATAGGAGTTGTTTAACTTATTACATGGTCGAGGTCTTGATGTGTACTGAGCAATGGCTGAAGGCTGATATTAAGTAGAGTGAGAGATCGTTTCTTACAAATGCACAGATGCTTGCTGAGATTGAACTTTTTGATGAGCTTGAAAAAGGTATGTTTTCTATCAATGGTTTAGTTTGATAAACTTTCTCATTTAAATTGTATGAACTTGTAACATTATCTTTTCTTAACACTTTTTCAGATTTTTCAGATTCCAATACTCGCCTTAACCTGAGTTAGAAGACAAGGATAAGAAGAACTAAAGAAGCTTGTTTTCTTTTGTATTATATGGCTTTTTTCAGATTTGTGAACTGATCTTAAAGTTGGTTGTTTTCTTTTGAATGTTATGGTCTTTGGAATGCTATGGTTGTTTTCTTTTGAAGGCTATGATCTTGAAGTTTTTTTTTTAGTTTTATGAAGCATGTAACCTTTTTCAGATGATACAGGTCAGTATTTGGTTCTTTTGGTTTGGATGTATTCAAATGACGTGTTACTTGTCTGTTTTCTTTTGAATGCTAAAGTGGGTAACATACAATAGAAAAAGAAATTAAAGCCCTGCAATTGTTCAAAAAATTAAAAGAACTAGAAGAAGAGACTCACCAAGAATACTCATTGGTCATGTACATCGGGAAAAAACCAGACTTTATATACAACCTTCTATTACTTTAGAATCACTAAACAATGCACTCATAAAGAAACTTGGACATGTGTTTGCTAAAGTGGTTGACATATAATAGAAGAAGAGACTAAAACCCTACAATTATTCAAAAAATTTAAAAGAACATACAATAGAAGAAGAGACTCACCAGGAATACTCATTGGTCATGTACATCGGGCATTCCAATGGCCGATGAAAAAATTCAGACTCTATATACAACATTCTATTACTTTAGAATTAGTAAAAAATGCATTCATACAGAAGCTTGGACATTTGTTTGCTAAAGTGGGTGATATACAATAGAAGAAGAGAGTAAAACCCTGCAATTATTCAAAAAAATTAAAAGAACATAGAATAGAAGAAGAGACGCACCAGGAATATTATCGATCATGTACATCAGACATTTCAATGGCCGACGAAAAAAACCAGACTCTATATACAACCTTCTACTACTTTAGAATTAGTAAACAATGCATTTATAAAGATGCTTGGACATTTGTTTGCTAAAGTGGATGATATACAATAGATGAAGGGGCTAAAACCCTACAATTATACAAAAATTTAAAAGAACATACAGTAGAAGAAGAGACTCACTAGTCACCAAGAATACTCATCGGTCATATATCAGCCATTCCAAACCGATGGAAAAAACCAGACTATATACAATCTTTCATTATTTTAAAATTGTTTTGTCACTCTTTCAAAACTCCAAGAAAAACAATTTTTCCTCCCATAAAACACATGTTTTAAATTCTCTAAACAATTTTCTTCAGAATCTCAGTTATAAATACCAAAACAACACAACATGTTTGTTTGAAAGACTTTGACCCGTAGTACAAGATGAAATAATTTTTCTCCTATAAAACCTATATTTTCATTGATGTCCAGATTTTTGGACATTTTCGGGTAATTCGGCTTTTTGGATACTTTCAGATACTTGAGAATTTGGTACAATATCCGGTACCGAATAATATCCGAAGAATTTCGATACTTTTAACAATATCCGATTTGATTCAAATCGGAACCAAACCAAATCCAAAATTTTAAAATATCCGATCAATTCCTATTTTTCTAAACCCAAAATATCCGGAATCTGACATACCCGACTTGAATCCGAACCGAATATCCAAAGCCCACCCCTAGCAAGTTCCAAATTCCAATCAACGATCAAAATTTGTGGTCTGGGAAAGAAAATTTTTAAGACATAATATATTAATTATTTTTGGACACTCGTGCGTTCATCTAGACATTTTCGGTAGATAAGATTTGTGAGACCAGCGTATTTAGATATAATATATATATATATATATCATTTAAAATTAGGAAAAAAACTGAAGCACGGATAATTAAATTTTCGCTTTTCTTAAAAACAATTTCATACGTCAAAAAGAAGAAAAAACCAATATCACAATTTGTAGACTAAATGTTTCAGCTAACTGGGCTACAATTTTCACCCCATCCTCGTATATCCTTCTTTGAGTTTCCAATGTGGCAATGTCCATGTGATACCACAGAAAACCATGCGTACCCGTTCGTGATATATATATATATATATATATATATATATATATATATATATATAGTAAATGATTAAGAAAATTGTTCCTAAAAAAATAGAAAAAAAAAAGAAAAGAAAAGTGTTGGTCAACTGAAAAAAAAAAAGAAAAACAAAAAAAGTGTTGTTCAGAAAACAAGAAATATCTTGTTAAATCGATCATATTGAGTTAATAAAAAAGTTTTTTTTGACAGCAGTTATTTAATGGTTGATGGCAGTCCATATTGGTCGACATCAGCAATAGAATTCAATTATTTGTATCATAACCATAATGTGGAGAGAATCGCAATTCACGTTCCAATGCCATTGGGACCCACTTTCGTTTTCAAACAAACATATTACCACACACTTGACTTCACAATATCTTATATAAGACTACTTTCTCATACGCTTCTTGGCAAAACAAATAGCATAGCCAAAACATCTGTACTAAAAGAGTGCTTAATTTTTTTGAAATAGTAACCCCGTACATTGCAACATATTCCCTTTAGGAATGGCTTCGATTATTATCTTGATTTTAACCATATTTTTAAGTTCCAGAACTTTGGGAGCCACATCTCGTGGTGACCTCTTTGAAGCTTCTTCCATGGAGAAACAACATGAGCATTGGATGACTCGATTCCAACGTGTTTACTCTGATGAATCCGAAAAAAGAAATAGGTTTGATGTCTTCAAGAAGAATTTGGAGTTTGTCAAGCGTTTCAACATGAATAAGAACAGACCATACAAGTTGGATGTCAACGAGTTCTCTGATCTCACCGATGAAGAATTTCAGGCGACACACACGGGACTAGTTGTGCCTGAGGCCGAGGATATAAATGGAATTTCAAATTCGGATTCTGAAAAAACAGTATCATTTAAATATGGGAATGTTAGTGTTGCTAGCGAGAGCATGGATTGGAGACAAGAAGGTGCCGTCACACCCGTTAAGTATCAAGGCGCATGCGGTAATTAAGATACATCATTACTCTAATTGTTATCGAATTATAAATTTATTGCTTAAATAAACTATTTTTTTGTATGAAAATATAGATAAAATAAAAGACAAGCATATTGTCAACTAAATGGATTTTTTTTTTTAACGGAATAGGAGGATGCTGGGCATTTTCCACCGTGGCTGCAGTGGAAGGCATTACAAAGATTACTAAAGGAAAGCTTGTATCGTTATCAGAGCAACAACTCTTAGACTGCTCCACAGACTACAATCAAGGATGTCGCGGAGGGATAATGTCGAAAGCTTTCGAGTACATAATCAAAAACCAAGGAATCACCACCGAGGACAACTATCCATACCAACAATCACAACAAACTTGTCGCTCAACCACCCAATCATTGGCTATCCTGGCTGCTACAATCAGCGGATACGAGACAGTTCCAATGAATAACGAGGAAGCATTGCTAAAAGTCGTGTCTCAACAGCCTGTTTCTGTGGGGATAGAAGGGATTGGATCAGCGTTTAGGCACTACTCGGGTGGGATATTCGATGGAGAGTGCGGGACACAACTGAATCACGCGGTCACGATTGTTGGTTATGGAATGAGTGAAGAAGGGACTAAGTATTGGGTGGTGAAGAACTCATGGGGAGAATCTTGGGGAGAAGATGGTTACATGAGGATCAAAAGAGACGTGGATGCATCCCAAGGAATATGTGGTTTGGCCATGTTTGCTTTCTATCCATTTGCTTGAATATATGTAGAGGTTGATGAGTTTGCTTGAAGTAATTGATAATAATCAAATTTAATAATCTTATAAAACATTATGGTCCCCTCGTTTTCGTGCAAATGGATTTGACCTTTTTGATCTTATGTGAGTGGAATAATAAAAACAGTGACCAGGTCTTGTGCGAGTCCTTCTGAACTTGGAGGACCTATTTACTTGGTCATGGTCTCTAGTCCAAATAAACTATGGGAAAAAGTTTAGAAAAAAGTATGATGTTAAAACAGAGAAAAAATAGAAAACAAAAAAAAGAAAAGAAAAAGAGTTTCATACAATTTATATAAAGTTTGCGTTGTTGTTGCGTTTGTGGAAAGATATCCATGAGAAGGGGCTGTCGCCGGCATAAAACGAATTAAGGACATGTGTAAGAAAAAGCCATCTATCATCACGGGGGAGTAAAAGTTTTTTCAGATTAACCTTATACCATGTGCAGAAGTTTTTTTTAACCTTCGTAAAATTATATGTGAACCTTTTTTACAGACCGATGATTAGTGGTTGTTGTAAGTGGTGTATTGAATTGATTGTCAGATACCTGCGTTCCAGTTGTGATTGTGGAGGCCGGAACAGTGGCGGATTCATCCAGGTGAGCCGCGAGATCGTAACCGTCGAGCAACGCATGGATCTGAAGACTCCACATGAGGTAGTTTGAGGTTGTGAATTTCGAAACATTTGACATATTTATGTTGAGAAGTGTCTGGTTATTTGTGCTTACCGTGTCAGAGACAGTGGGAGTGTTGAAGGAACTCATGATGAGTTTGAAATTTGAGGGAGGTAGAGAAAAAATTTTGGAGGTGTTTAGAGATCGATGGCTTCTGATACCATGTAAGTGTAGTGGTGTATTGAATTGATACAAACTATATTACAAGAGAGGGAGATATATACAGGGAGTTGTCTAGGGTACTACAATGCTAGTAAATGAGAATATATTCTTATACATAAGTGGATCCATAATTGATGTTGTCATAAATATGATTGATCCTTAACATCCCCTCAAAATGGAGGAGGTCTTGTGACTCCAATCTTGCTTGAGAAAACTGTGAATTGAGACCGGGGAAGTGGTTTTTTGAGAACATCGGCGAGTTGATCTTTTGTAGAGACATGAACAACCCGTAAAGCTCCTGACTGAACCTGGTTTCTGATAAAGTGATAGTCCAACGCGACATGCTTCATACGGGAGTGGAAGACAGGGTTCACCGACAAGTATGTGGCACCTACATTATCACAATAGATAACTGGAGGATGAGGAAGAGTGATACCAAGTTCTGCAAGTAATGAACATATCCATGTGACCTCAGAAGATGTGTTTCCACTGATCGATATTCTGCTTCTGTCGATGATCTTGAAACACTCTTTTGTTTCTTTGAAGACCAAGAAACTGTAATTTTACCTAGGTAGATGACATACCCATCAGTGGAAACAAAATCATCAATATCACCAGCCCAATCTGCATCTGAAAAGGCATGAAGAGACTGATTATTACCACGACGAATTAAAATACCATAATTCGATGTACCAGCCAAGTAACAAAGTACACGCTTAACGCTATTCCAGTGATCCGATGTCGGAGCATGCATGAACTGAGAAAGACGGTTAACCGCATAAGAGAGGTCAGGCCAAGTGAATGCAAGATACTGAAAGCTGCCGACGACCCCACGATATTCAGATGGGTCAGACAATCTGGTGCCCATGTGTAGTGACAACTTTGGTGATGTTGTCATTGGTGTTGTGACCGGTTTTGCACCCAGCATTTCTGTTCGTGTAAGAAGATCAAAGATGTACTTTCTCTGGCTGAGATGTCTGCTGCCAATTCTGTTGTGCTTGCTGTTGTTGTCAGTTGTTATTGTTGTTGTTGTATCGCTTGTTGGATTGATTGCGAGTGGTGTTGGTGTTGGGACAGTATTGAACGGCATTTGCTGTAACATGAAATGCAGACGATGTAAGAGCAGCAGAGGAAAGCAGTCTTGCTTCGTGATTGAGGAGTCTTTCATCAACTTCTGCAATGGTGGGAGATGCATCACTGCTTTGAACCTGATCAATGACAGGTTTGTATTCCTCGGAAAGCCCTTACAAAACATAATCGATTTGATCCTCATGATCAATCGGTTTCCCAAGGATGGCGAGTTGGTAAAATCTGGTAACAAGACCTTGAATATATGTATCAATGGTCTTGTTTTCCTTCTTCCACGCCTTGATCTGTGTTTTCAGTTGTTGTTATGACCGCGGCTCGGTTTGGCGTAGGTTGAGGACAACATGGTCCAGAATTCAGAAGCTGTCTTCGCACGAGCAACAATTGGCTGAAGTGGTGAGGAGATGGCAGCAAGTAGTGCGCTGTAAATCAAACGATCATGGCGTTTCCATAGGACATACGCCGGATTGTCAGATACCTGCATTCCAGTTGTGATTGTGGAAGCCGGAACAGTGGCGGATTCATCCAGGTGAGCCGCGAGATCGTAACCGTCGAGCAACGCATGGATCTGAAGACTCCACATGAGGTAGTTTGAGGTTGTGAGTTTCGAAACATTTGACATATTTATGTTGAGAAGTGTCTGGTTATTTGTGCTTACCGTGTCAGAGACAGTGGGAGTGTTGAAGGAACTCATGATGAGTTTGAAATTTGAGGGAGGTAGAGAAAAAATTTTGGAGGTGTTTTAGAGATCGATGGCTTCTGATACCATGTAAGTGTAGTGGTGTATTGAATTGATACAAACTATATTACAAGAGAGGGAGATATATACAGGGAGTTGTCTAGGGTATTACAATGCTAGTAAATGAAAATATATTCCTATACATAAGTGGATCCGTAAGTGGATCCGTAATTGATATTGTCATAAATATGATTGATCCTTAACAGTTGTTTTGAAAACCCAAATGCTACCTCGTTAAATTGGTTGTAGTTCAATTAAAATTTTTTCTTTGAAGTGTCCGCATTTAAATAAGTTAAACACCATTCTTTTAAAAATTTCACTTGGTATTAAAGCAGATTACAAAATTAAGTTTTTAAAGTTTAACAATGTTTGATCCTATGTTGAGACTATACGAAGCCCCTATAAGATAAGGTAGCTCTGATATGACCATCTTTAGGTGGCTCATATTACGGTTACTAGAAAATATGAATGCAATCCTTCATAGGTTCCACTGAGCAATGTTCAAGGAAACATTGCACCAAAAGTGAGAATCCTCTAGAATGAGGAATAAGTCAAGAAAATTATGAACAACGCCACAATTCTAGACGCGATATACAACGCAATTGATGTCAATCAAATTTGAACGAACTCCTCCTACGAGACAGAAAAGGAAGCGTGGGAGGCATTGGAAACCATCTATGAAAGGACGTCTAATATTAAACTAACAACAACGAATTATTTAATTATTTAAATTTTATTTTTAAACTGAAAAGGTAATCTTTTAATAATTTTTTTTATCAAACCAAACCGAAAACAAAATCTAAAAAATAATTAAAAAAATATGTTTTTGGATCAAATAGATTTGTTTGGTATAGTTTTTTGCCAACCTATTAGGCATGGGCATTCGGTTCATCGGTTCCGGAGTGGATTTTCGGATTCGGTTAATATGCCCAGACCTACAACCTATTATTCTTATTTATGAATTTTTTATTATTATTTTTCTATATCTAATAGTATCATATTTATTTAAAAAAGATACCTTGTAGAAAACAAAATTTAGATCATTACTGATTTATTAGAACTTGTGTATATATATAAGCATCACATCATCTTAGCAAAATATTATGAACAACACAAATACAATATAGAAACTTTACATAATCCAACTAAAAAAACTTATAACATTATATAGTTCAGATTAGAAAATGTAAATCACTATCTTGGTTCTCAATCTAACCAAACAATCTAAGTCACGTAAGTTACGTAACCAAACAAATCATTATACGAAAACAGATATCAATTAAGAGGAAAGAGAAGAAAAAAAAAACACTAAAACCTAAAACTTAAGAAAACTAAACATATGTTGAAGATGAAAACCACTAAAGAATATTGAAGATGAGCTCCACCGTTTGGAAATCGGCCACCTTGAGTAGTAGTCGTAGTCGTAGTAGTACCAGGACCACTATTTCCGCCGCTACCGCCTCCACTATCATTGTCACCATCATCTCCGCCACGGCCTCCACCTCTTCCACCCTTGTTACCTCCAGAACCACGGCTTCCACCTCCACCTCCGCGACTACCGCCACCACCGCTGCTTCCACCTGAAGAACCACCTCGAGAACCTCCACCACCACTGCTTCCACCTGAAGAACCGCCTCGAGAACCGCCACCGCCGCTGCTACCTCCTCCGCCTGCAAGCTCTCTTCGCTTAAAATATGACAACGTTTCTACGGTTAAGTGACGGCGTTTTTGATCGACGGATGAGAGAGAGTCTTGGTTGAGTGAAATAACGGCTCTGATTTGCGTTTGAATTAGGATTATTAGAAATAGATGAAGCACAATAATACCACTTTTGAATTCCATATTGTGTTGTATGAATCTCGAATACAGCTTCAATGTTACCATGACACAACTCTTTATATATTGTTTATATATATATAGATATATATATATATATAATAATTACAGCTTCAATCACAAGGAAGCTTCCTTTGATTGAACTTTTATGCATGATTAGGATAAGATTTGACTTTTTCAATACAATGATTTGTTCTAACCTCCAAGGCTCTAACATAATATTCCGTCTAGTTTTTTAAAAACTTAACTATTAACTTTGTATCACAATTCGGCATGATCGAAGTTCAACCGCAACTAACTTCAACTGTGGAGACTAATAATGTTTAAAACTGAAATTTTGATTTTATTTTAAAATGTTAAATAAAATCTTTTGAAGTTATGTAAACACATAAACCATATAAATGACAAGTGGTTCAATCTTTTTTTTTCTCATGTTTTCTATTGGTTTTGTATCTGTTCGTTTCTGTATCTGGATGCTCGATTTTTCTCATAAACATGTTTTTCTCATAAACACATAAACATGTTTTTCTCATATTTTCTATTGACATGACAAGTGGTTAAAATCTTGATTTCCCGCCAAAAACAAAAAATCTAAGTTTCTCGCCAAAAACGCAAAACTTCGATTTCCCGCCAAAAACAAAAACACTCGATTTCTCGCCAAAAATGCAAAACTTTGATTTTTCGCCAAAAACAAAAAATCTTGGTTTCTCGCCAAAATCTCTGTTTCTCGCCAAAAACGCAAAATCTCGATTTTTCGCCAAAAAGGAAAAATCTTGGTTTCTCGCCGAAAACACAAAATCTCGATTTTTCGCCAAAAACGCAAAATTTCGATTTTCCGCCAAAAATGAAAAACTCTCGGTTTCCTGCCGAAATAACAAAATCTCGGTTTCTCGCCAAAAATACAAAATCTCTATTTCCCACCAAAAACAAAAAATCTAGGTTTCTCGCCAAAAACGCAAAATCTCAGTTTCCCGCCAAAAATACAAAATCTCGATTTCCCGCCAAAAACGAAAAATCTAGGTTTTTCGCCAAAAACGCAAAATCTCGATTTCCCGCCAAAAACGAAAACTCTCGGTTTCTCGCCAAAAACGTAAAATTTCGATTTCTTGCTAAAAACAAAAAATCTTTGTTTCTCGTTAAAAACAAAAACTCTCGGTTTCTCGCCGAAAACGCAAAATTTTGATTTCCCGCCAAAAACACAATATCTTGATTTTCCATCAAAAACTCAGAATTCCAGTAAAAATTTTTCCTGTCAAATATACAAAATCATGTTTTTCCACAAAAAAATGAAAAAAAAAATTTCATGTATTTTTAAAACTTAGTTTGATAAAAGTATCAGTTATTAAAATATAATAATTCAAAAGTATATCATTTTTAGTCATTTGATATATTTTGCATCTAACTATTTTTCTAAATTCACAAACAAACAATTTAATATCCAGACGTAGCATCTTGATGCAAAACCTAGTTTCTAAAACAAACAATATCTAGGTGTTGTATCTAGATGTTTATCTAGATGCAAAATCTAGATGCAGCATCTAGATCAAAAATACGAACAGGGCCTAAACAAACTCAGTCAAATAAAGAGAAAACAAAAATACTCAGGTTTTAACAACTTATCTCTGCATAATTCAAATCGTTTACTTTTACAAAAAAAATAATAATAATAATTCCAATTGCTTACAATTTTAGATGGATCTATGTATTCTGGTCAAACGGGCAAAGGTGTCAGGAACTTGGGTTAAGTCTTTCAGGTAGGCGAAATTTTACTTGAATATCTCAACAAGGATATAGTAGTCAACATAAATTTAATTTAGTATGTATTTTTAAAGACGGTTAATTCCGCGTTATTAAAGCGTATGAAGTAACGATTAATAATCAATTGTACACGTGTGTTGGCGGGAACCAAAATAGTAGATATTAAGACGAAGATTTGATATCAAAGCAGAGTTCGTACAACACTTTCAGAACTGGTCTAGTGAGTAAGAATCCCCATCGGCGAAGATGCCGCAAGTTAAGATCATCGCGAAAAATTTCATGGACATGGTGGCGTCTCTTACTGCCATCAAGCTCTGAAGAAATTCAGAGTCATGTATCGAAGAGTTTTCTTTAAGTCATTCACCCAACCAATTACAGAGATATATACTACAAGATGAGTATCAGACTTTCCTAAAGCTGCTGCAATGACTTTCAGATTCAAACGATAGTCAGTGTTTTATGTTATGTTCACGAAGTTTTGGGTAATTTTCAACGATTTCGGGATACAGCCGATTTATAAGCGGTCCGAAAAATTCTGAAATTAAGATATAGCTCATATAAATTTATAAGATTATGAGATTTTTTTTGGTGCATATAGAATTGTGTTGTAAAAAATACCACTGTCAAAATTAGTAAATAATAAAAATAGGAGGATCGTTGATTATTATTATCTATTATATTAAAACAGAAGCACTTTTAGTGCTTGCTTCCAAACATTCCTAAAGTTTTTTTAAAATTATTTTATTTTATATTTATATTTAATTCCGAAAATTAGGTATTAATTTATATATTTTTAGATTCTCCTTAAATATAAGTGACAATTAATTTAAAACATTTATTTTATATTGATATTTAATTTTGAAATTTAGTTATTAACTTAGATATTTTTAAGTTTCCTTAAATATGGTTATATTTAAATAAAATTTCAATTATTCAAGATTTTTAATAACTATATATAATTACGAAAATTTATATTTAATTTAATTTAAAATTCAAAAAATTTAAAAAATTTATAATTAAATTTTATTTTAAAAATTTAGGTAATAATTTTAATTACTTTAGAATTCTTTAAATAGAAATTTAATTTTAAATTTTAAATTTAAATTGTACTTTCATAATATCGTAAATGGTAAACAAATATTTTATTTTATTTTATCATAATCAAACGGTCTAAAATATCAAATATTTAAGATAAATAAATATTTATATTTTACAATAATATGATGGAGCTGATTAAAGTTATGTATTATTATATTTCAGGTCTTGGGTTAGTTTGTTAAAACATGTAAGATATTAAGATAATTTGAGGTAATTAAATGAACAAGTTAGCCAATATATAGATATATCTATTTTTATATTAACACTAATGGTACTTGAATATCTTATTATATTTTATCATAATCAAATCGACCTAAATTCAATATTAGTAAATATTTTTATATTATAATAATATGATAGAGCAGGTTAGGGTTATGCATTTATAATTACATTCTTATACAAATTAGTTTTTAAAAATATGTAAGATATTAAAAAATAATTTAGGGCAACTAAACAGATAGATTAGCCAATTCATAAGCATATATTATTTATATGTAAATTCACATAATTAAAATCACATAATTAAATTTACATAATTAAAATCACATAATAACAAAGTTTATAATTAACATTAGATCGAAATATACTTAATTAACTCATATTATAATTCTACTAATATACAAATCTATATTGTTTAAAGTTAAAACATGATAACAAAATGTCTTGCAAAAATATAGCTCGACACCAGGATGATGAAAAACTTAACACATCTCATTCTTATTATTTTTTCATATTTGAAAAATGAATATTTTTGATTTAAAATAAATAATAAAAACAACTTATATCTAAACAAAAAAAAATAAATACAAATTATATTAGGAAAAAGAACAAAAAATTCTCGTGCGGATGCACGGGTTTAGAATCTAGTTTTTTTTTAAAAAGAAGAATTGAAGGACTATCGAGTGAGTTTGTTGTTCGATCAGAATAAAACGATGTGCGATAGTGCTTTGAACAGGTTTTTAGTGAAATGAACTGGTTTTAGTATTGTGATCTCAGAAGAGTTTTACAAAAACAAGAATACACAAAGACAAGTGTTTGAGTCTAAAGCTAAGTTACAGTAGAAAATAAAGTTGAGAGTGGATTTCTGGACAGAAAACATTGTCCCTTGCTCTTTGCTATTTTTCTTGTTTTATGTTTTGAGATCGTGTTTAACGCCTCCGTTTATTCCGCCTGGTTCGCATTGAATGGTGTTTAAGCCTGAGGTTATTACCGTTACGTTCTAACCACTTGACTCACTGGTTTGAACAAATCTTTGATTTCAACGGGATTGACTGATGGATTTGCATTTAATCTCTTTTTGATTGTTGATTTGCTCACTTCAGTGGACTTCCAGCTCAGCCCAAAATCCCTTCTGCTTGTTTGACTTCACTTGATCTTTTAACTTCGTCAGACCCTCTTTACTGTTGAATATTTGAACCTTACTTTTCTGAACCGAATATTTATCCCTACATATTGATTTAGTATTTTGCCAGATTTTAAGCTAAAATAAGCATATACTTAATTTAGATTAAGCATCAAAGCGTGTTGATTGGTGATTGACGGAATGACTATTAGAACTTAGGAATGATTAATTAGCACTAAACTAGTTTTGCATGTGAGGTTAGATGTCATATGGCTTGAATGTTGTGTTGTCATGAAAGAGTTAGCTTTAAATATATGCGGTGCTGAAGATCAAAATTTGTGGAAAGTGGAGACTAGAAGTGGGTGAAGAGTGAATTCTATCCTAGATTTTGAGGTATATAATCTGTTTGGTTCATCTTAATTAATGTAATTTTTTAATTTATATATTTTTGGTGACATCTAAATCATTAAAATTTGGATATCCAATATGTTTCATATAGTTAAAACTAATTGTATAAAAAATGCATAGTAAAATTCAAATTTAATTTAAAATGATATTTATTGGGGATAAATTCGATTATTTTCACGTGAAGGGACCATGTGAATATATGTGGCATCCATGACTTTTGTAGATATGATATCTAGGTCAAACTATGTTTTGTTTTGGGCTTTCGGTCCAGTCGACTTAGGCTTTTAGAACTGGACCTTAAATCCTACAGACTCAATTGATTCAGCATGAAATACCACATGTTCTCGAGTTTTTCGTATTTGACAGTTTAGGCCACATTGCCTGAGATCAGAAAGCCAAGAACTAAGTGGTCAGGAGGAATGAGAGGTTACCTAGGTTACCTTTTCCTATGTCCCGACCAAAGTTCA